CCAAACATTTAAATTAAAAAAAAATACACCTACATTAATTAATTTCTACTGGAAAGGCATTTTTCAGAACAAATTAAATTAAGCCCATTTAATTTGTTGAGATATTTTCTATACAGTGTAATTAAACTCCTTTCTTTTTTTAATCTTCATTTTTATTTTACCAAAATTATTGTCATTAGTAACAATTATTTTCTGTTTAAATTTCCCAACACAGGTTTGGTGCAAAGTTTTCTTGGGGGGGGGGTTTGTTTGTTTGTTTTTTCATTTTTCGATTCATATCAAGCTTTATCAAATATAGCTCTCTTCCATTCTTGAGTTTTCTTTTGTGGAATTCGTTCTATTAAGTCTGATTCTCTCAGGTCAGTGTTTACAGTTACCAACAGGATTCTTCAGTCAGTTTTTCATTTCCTTAACAATTTTACCATGTGCCGTTTTGCCCATAATTATTGCGTGGTAATCATTTCTACCAATAACCACATTCAGAAACTATGGCAAGAATTATATTTATTACTTAGTTAATCCATGAAATAATTGAGAGCCATTCCTTGCAGAAGTGCCAGCATTGCTCTCATGCCCTGGTGCACACTGGTCTCCCCTGGGCAGTTTCAGGAAGTGCTGCTGCCTGCACCCGACTCCAGCTTCTCCTTTAATCAGTTTGTGCCTAGACACTGATCTATTGTAAAGCTCCCAGGCCATTCTAAGATGCACCCAGGGTTGGAGCACCGTTCTAAAAATCTAGAGCTGCGCTGTCCAACACAGTAAGCCGCCACTATGCACGCACATGAGCTATTCAAATTTAAATTAATTAAAATTAAATAAAATTTAAGATTCAGTTCCTCAGTTACACTAGCCAACACGGAATGGTTCCATCATCTCAGAAAGTTCTACCGGGCAGCACTGGTGTGGAGTGCAGACAACTGGTTCTTACTCCCTAACACCTGGGAGTTCGTAATGGTGCACAGGCCCCGCTCCCAATCAATTAAGTGAGAACTTGCAGGCGGGGCCAGGCACTGGCATGTTATGTCAAAGCTGCCAATGATGCTCTTGCGTCTCATAGCCTGGATTGGGAATTTCTCAGCTGAACATCCCAGGGGTCAAACTTAGCTGGTCAGGGATCAGGGTCAGCTTCCCCTCCAGCATCCTTCTGAGAAGCCCAGAGTAAGCAGGAAGTTGTTGAGTGAAGCCTGGGACACTCAACTGAGTCCAGGACCCAGCCTAGCTGGGTTTGCACGAGTGTCTCCCATCCAGAGGAGTGAAGTTTCCTCCTATGTGCATTTGAAACCTGATTTTATCGACATGGAGTTGATCCACCCCTGCAGTTGCTTCAGGATGGGTGGGGTGCAGAATGGCCCAGAGACAGTATCCAGCCTGAGTTTCCCCTCCTGAGAGATTCCGAGACCCCACTCCGGGCCAACAGACCAGGCTGGCATAATGAGGTCACCCAAAACTGCCAACGGTCGTCGGGGAAACACAGAAACATCAAAAATCCCAGAAGCCCTGGGGATAGAGAAGAGAGTGGAAGTGGGGGAGAGTCAGAGGACAGAAGGAATAAACGGAGAGGGGCCAGGAAGGAAAAGGAGCAAAACCACAGACCTGTGGAGACAGAGGTGTGAGTGAGGGGCGGTAAAGAATGAGTGAGGCATTGAGGGGACTCTAGAAACAGGTGGAGGCAGAGGATGGAGGTTCAGAAGACGGAGAGGAGGAGACAGAGGGAGACTGTGGAGGGCTGTGCTGCACCTCGCTCGGAAGAAGACCCAGGAGGACCCTAGGTGGGCTCACAGCCCACCCAGGACTGCCAGGAAGGAAGGAACTGCTGCATGACGGCCCTGTGGATTTCACTGAAACTGAGGGCAGTCAGATGGCAGCGGTCACCATCACAACTGTTATCTCCCTATTTGCTTCCTGACCAGACACTGCCAACTTGAGGGTAGTGAGTAGGTGTTCTATGTAAAACGTTCATTGAATTGAATTCACTGACTTTTTTTCCCTTTTCTCTTTTAGAACGTAAAATATCACATGGTTGCTCTTTCCACTTCCTGGAAATGCTTCTTACTTTTACAGCATTAGACTTTTTAATACTTTTAATTAACTGGTTTGTTTTTGTTTTGTTTTGTTTTGTTGTGGTACGCGGGTCTCTCACTGTTGTGGCCTCTCCCGTTGCGGAGCACAGGCTCCGGACGCGCAGGCTCAGTGGCCATGGCTCACGGGCCCAGCCGCTCCGCGGCATGTGGGATCTTCCCGGACCGGGTCATGAACCCGTGTCCCCTGCATCGGCAGGCGGACTCTCAACCACTGCGCCACCAGGGAAGCCCTTAACTGGGATTCTTTTCTCACATTTCATGAGCAGCATGAACGTACTGTGCGCTCTAACCATGAGGGCCTTACAGAAGCACCCTGTGGGTACCTGCTTCCCTCCCGCTACTCCAGTGGGTTTCCCCTCATGCATCTTCCATCCAAGCAAACTGCTCTCCAGCCTGCATACCCCACTGGCTCCGAGGCTCCGATAGCAAAGCTAAAATTCTATTATTTCTGAAATTCTTCAGATGTTTGTGAATGTAAGTTTAAAGTTAGTTGAATTAAAATTTAATTTTTAATCACTAGAAATGCAAAATTGAGATAAATGTTTGAAAAACTCAAAAATTACATTCAAGTAGTTATCAGAAAGAAGTTTCTGGTGAATCGGGAAGCTTTGTGAATTAGTTCTTCTGCAAATTGCTGTGTGAGGAACTGATTTCCAGCACACTGGCCTCTCAAGTGACCTACCTGGTCATGTGGGAAACTGGTGTTCAGGGAGCTGACTTGCCCCCAGGAGCCAGAGGACATCCACAGGGGCCAACGAGAGGGCTCCAATGTGCGAGACAGCCTGCCCCTGCTGTGATCTCCAACCCACGGAGCCAGGCCGGCCCATGTGTGGCACTGGCCTGCTATCACCCCGAGGTCTAGCCTGGCCCTTGAATTGATCAAAAATATGTTCTCATCCCCTGCTGCCTTCATGGTCTTAGAAATCTCCCCACAGGGCCTGAAAAGTACTGAATGTGATCATGAAAGTGAAACATGTGTTTCCTCTGCATGCCTTTGCCTTGCTACGCTCTCTCTAGAAGGGCCCAGCACCTGCCTGGGGCTTCCGGGAGCCCCTGAGAGGCGCAGGGGCTCCGTGATTCTGACCATGTTGCAGACCTGCCCTTCAATCACAGCTCTGCCATCAGTAGCCTTCGAGGAAATTAATCTCCTGGAGCCTCAGTTTCCCTCCGTAATAATGACAAGTCTAATAGTAACACCTAACGATTAAAAAAGATCTTTTATATAAAGACTCAGCACAGGGCCAGACACTTGGCTAAGCTCTTGGTAAACATCAGCTGTTGTGGGTTTGCTATTATTATCCTCAGCCTGGCGTCAGAGGCCCCCTCCCAACCTGGCCCCATTGCTCCCTTCTCACTGGGCTGCACGAGTCATGTGACTGAATCCCACATGTAAGGCCTTAGCCTGCTGCCCTCCATGCCCAAACTGTGGAAGGCCCTCCCTTCCTCTCCTCTCTAAAGCCAACCCTGGCCTCCGAGTCAGTCTGTGTGGCCCTCCTCCAGGAAGCCTTCCAGGACCACCCAGAGTCCAGCATTGCTCCTCCCTCACCTGTAGGTCCACCGTTCATGCTTGTCAGAAGCTGCCTTTTTTCCATGAAATACCTGTGCTGGGGTAACAGTGTGAATGAGTTCCAGCCCCTGCAGGAACCTGCACCCTGTGCAGGTGGGGGCTGCTGAGGTCCAGGCTGGACAAGACGGACCCAAGACGCCCCGGACCCACACCTTTTAGCCCTACCTTGGGAGGGCCCAGTGGAAGCGCCTCCATCCTCCCCACACGTATCACGCGCTGCACCCACAGCCGGCAGAGACACAGAGAGACCGTGCTGGCTGCGTTTTTCTTCCAAGCTTTTTAAGATTTCAAACTTTCCAGATGTCTGGGAGGCTGAGACCCCTGTCGGCCTTCCCCAGGTCTCTGAATCCTCCCTCTTTCCCTCTCCCACTCTCGCCCTGCCAGGGAAACACAGCCGGGCCCCAGACACCAGCTGACCCAGTTCCCAAACAAAGGCTCTACTGTCAGCAGGTCACAAAACAGCAAGCCCATGCCCGATCCTCGGGTCCAAACCTCAGCGAATGGCACCAAGAGCATGAACCCACCCCTGCCGGCCCCTCACACAGCTGCACCCCCGTCAGGCCTAGCAGGGACCGGCTGAAGCCCCGCCCTGACATTCAAGGTTCCGGCACTGAGCGCTCTCAGGCTGTGTCTCCCAGGTCACCCTACCCACAGTCAACAGGGCCATCAGTCTGCAAGCTGGCTGGCCCTGCCCACCCCGCCACCAGCACACACAAGGCCCAGGAGCTCCATACACGAGGAAGGACCCATCGCCCGACTCGAGAGCCTACTTTTGCCACCACAAAACTCTGAACTCTGCTCCTACTATTGCCCCTGCCTGGAAACCATCCCTACTACGTACATGAAATATCACCAGAAGACACTGCCACAGGACGGTGGGCAGTCAGTGTGGGTCGTCATTACTGTTCCGACTTCTAAACCACAACTCTCACCTCGAGTCCCACCTCTTCCATGAAGCCATCGCTCGGCCTGCCTCGCGCCATGTGCCACTGCCCTCCCTAGCCTGTGCTGGGCAGGGAGAGAGGGCCGTGCCAGGCACCTCAGGGCTGCAGCAGGACCCAGAGAGCCTTTTCTTCCCTGCTCCCTGGGGCACAGGCTGTCTGGGGAAACACATGCACATCTGATTCTAGCTCATCTTCCTTCCCTGTCACTTGGGAAGCTCTCAGATTTACCCACGGCTGAGTTCCTGAGACTGCAGCCAGCCCTCTCCCCCAGATCTACCACCGGGCCAGGCCCACTAGTGGCAGGTCTTCACTAAACACCAGCTCTCCAGAGTCCACATTCTGTAGTCTACATCCGCCACGACCCTACCCATACACACCCACAGGCCAGAGTCCCCCTCACCGCCTCACCTGTTCCTCCCCATCGTCTCATGGTCTTTGACCACCACGTGAAGCTCGGAGCCTTGGTCCAGGGGGACACCCTTGAGGTCCCACTCAAAGCCCTGGAAGAAAAAGAGAAAAGATGTCTTAACCTATGGACCCCTAGAAGAGACTGTGTCTGGTCCCCACAGGTCCCCCTGGGGCACTGAGCAGGCATCTGTGACCACTACTGGTGAAGGGAAGGACGCATGAGTGAAGGAATGAATACATGAGTAGCAGGGTCTCAGAGCTTCAGAAGGGACAGCGAGAGCTGAAGGCAGCGGAAGAGGGTAGGAGACCAGACCCCCATGACCCCCTCCCCAACTCAATTCCACCAGTCACCAGGAGCACAGCTGGGAAAACTTCCAGGTGACCCTCAGGGCCCAAGATCAGTGTGCTCATGGGGCAGCCCGGCGCCTGGTGACAGCATGCATTAGTGCCACCTTGGTCTCCAGAGACCCCAGGACCCTCCTCAGAGCAAAGGCACCCCATGCATCCCAACCCCATCCACACAAGGATAGGGCTTCCAAAGACCACCAGGGCGCCATATAAAGAAAGCTGGTTGACTAAGTCTCGAACAAGAGCAAGTTATGTAGCAGACGGGAGCCAATTCTTTTGCAATTAGAGAATGACAAATCTCTGCACAGATAATACCCTGACCAGCAAGAGCTTGAGTTGGTGAGCAAATAAATGGGCATCTGCCAACATAGATTTACTGATTAAAATTATTAAAGGCTATTGCAACATGCCTTAAGTAAATCATTTGCACAGATGATTTACTGCAAATAGGCAATTATTTCCTGTAGTTTAAACTACCTAAACATTGTCAGTTTTTCTGAAACAGTGTATTAAATTTAACCCAAAGGGAAAAAAAAAAAAAAAAGAAAGAAAGAAAGCTGGTTGAGAGGGCAGGAACCAGAGGAGGACCTGATGAATCAGGGAGGGCTGTGGGGAGGAGGTAGTTCTGGGCAAGGACAACGGCCCTGTGTAAGGGAGAAAAAGCAGGTAAGACAGCCCTAGACACCCTCCTCCTGGCTGGCCAGAGCTGAAAGAAGCGGAGACAAGGGACCCCTCACTCCTCTCCACACCGTACCCACAGCACAGGGGAGACCGCAGGCCAGGCCACCACCCCTCCTCCCAGATGCCAGGAGGATTTCGTTGGCACACCGGACCAGAGCCCCTCCTCTCCATGACAACCCCTCTGAGAAAGCTGCCTCTGCCTGAGCCCCCTGACTCGTCCCTGCAGAGACAGTGGCGGCAGAGGGAGGAAAGGAGGGAAGGTAGGAAGCTCACATACCTCATTCCACACGGGGTTCACGTTGTTCTTGATGACTTTGGTTCTCTTCTTCACCCCTACGAGAGACACAGAGGGGGAGTGAAGAGACGTACCCCAACCTGCGCCTTCCCCAAGTGAGGGCCAGTTCCAAGACCTGCACTGCACCTCACCCGCCAAAGGAAACCTTACAAAACCCACGAGTCTCTGAGAATCCCACCAGTCTGCAATGAAAGCCCAATGCCAATCACACACATCTCTCAGCTCTGGGACGGACAAACAGCAGCCCCATCGGAAGGACTGTTTAAAGGAAAATACCCAGACTGACTCTTCTTAATGAGTTTGTTATTGTTACTCCTGACTTTCTAAGTAAAGTTTTTAAATTGTAAAGTTTCTGATTCTCAGAATGAATGATCTTCATAGAAAATATTCCATTCTTCTTTAAAACAACCTATCTCCACATATTGTATGATTCCATTTATATGAAATGTCCAGAACAGGCAAATTCACAGAGACAGAAAATAGATTAGTAGTTTCCAGGGCCCTAGAGGGAGATGGGAATGGCAAGGGAATGCTTAATGGAGATTTCTTTTTGGGGTGATGAACTGTTATGGAATTAGATCGTGATGATGGTTGTACAACATTGTGAGTATACTAAAAACCACTTATACTGTACACTTTTAAATGGTTAAAATGGTGACTTTTAGGGTCTGTGAATTTTACCTCAATTTTAAAAAGATCCACCTCACTCTCACCTTGAAGGTATCTTTCTGAAGCAGGCTGTCCTACCTGCTCGTGAGGGCTGGGCCGAGGGAATGCAGAAGGGCTTTGAGATAGACAACAAGAAGAACTGATACTGTGATAGCTGGGAAGAGCCACAGCGCCCCAGGCGGCAGACTGCTGAGCGCTCCCTCTGGAGTTTGGGCCTAAGGGGTGAATGAGGGGCACAGAAAGGGCTAAACACGTCTGGCTCTTCCATTAAGCATCAGAACAGAAATGATTCTGTGTTCAATGGACGATTAAAAGTGTTCAGCCAGGGCTTCCCTGGCGGCACAGTGGTTAAGAATCCGCCTGCCAATGCAGGGGACATGGGTTCAAGCCCTGGTCCGGAAAGATCCCACATGCTGGAGCAACTAAGCCTGTGCGCCACAGCTACTGAGCCTGCGCTCTAGAGCCTGCGAGCCACAACTACTGAAGCCCGTGCACCTATAGCCCGTGCTCCGCAACAAGAGAAGCCACTGCGATGAGAAGCCTGCGCACTGCAATGAAGAGTAGCCCCCGCTTCCTGCAAGTAGAGAAAGCCCGCGCGCAGCAATGAAGACCCAACGCAGCCAAAAATAAATAAATAAAAATAAATAAATTTTTAAAATAATTTTTTTAAAAAAGTGTTCCGCCAGACACAAAACTTATATTTGGGTTGGATCTGAAAGATCACCGGTTCAACCCTGCCTGTGCAAGACCCTGCAGTAAGAAGCCTTTGGTCTCACCTGGACTGCTCAGTGTTTACAGAGTCCTGTCTGGACCATGAAAGCCCCTCAAGCCTCTGGAAACATCTCCCAGGACCCCCGAGTCTTCCTCTGAAACTGAGCATTGTCCATTTCCCTTCTGTAGGGTCAGCCCCCGTGGCCCGGTTCAGAGCATGGAGAGAAGGGCGGGCAGAGGTGGGTCAAGGACGCAAGCCAGGTAGGGGGAAGGATTTGGAGGAAGGAAACAACAGAGTAAGGAGCAAAGGAAAATCCAGGAGAAAGAAACATCTGAGGGAGGATCGGTAGACTTAAGGCAAAGATTCAGCCCCACGAGCCCCCTCAGAGATCCTGAGAAACCTCCACCAGTGGTAGAGGGTGAGCCCCCAACCCCTCTCACCGCCTGCTGCAAATCACTGTTGTGGGAAAAGCACGTGGACTTTGGAATGACACAGACCACCATAGAATACTTATTTTCTGGGAGACCCTAGGGGCAGCAGTTCTCAAATTTTTGGTCACAGGATGTCATTCTTAAAAATTATTGAGGCGGGACTTCCCTGGTGGTGCAGTGGTTAAGAATCTGCCTGCCAGTCCAGGGGACACCGGTTACAGCCCTGGTCCGGGAAGATCCCACATGCCGTGTAGCAACTAAGCCCATGCGCCACAACTACTGAAGCCCATGCGCCTAGAGTCCGTGCTCCACAACAAGAGAAGCCACCGCAATGAGAAGCCCATGCACCACAACAAAGAGTAGCCCCCGCTCGCCACAAAGACCCAACACAGCCATAAATAAATAAATAAATAAACAAACAAATTTTTTTATTTATTTAAAAAAAAGAAAAACTTCCATAGGAAAAAATTTATTGAGGGCCCTAAGGAGCTTTTACTAAGGTAACTTGTATCTATCAACTTTTACTGTATTCAAGGTTAAAACTGAGGCATTTAAAAATATTTATTTAGTAATTAATATTACATTAACAATAATAAGCCCAGTACATGTTAACATAAGTGACATATTTTTATGAAAAATAACTAACTTCCAAAACAAAGGAAACAGAAAAGTGACACTGTTTACATTTTGCAAATCTCTTTAATGCCTCACTGGATTCTCATTATCCTGTCTACATTCAGTCCATTGAGATGTCTTGTTTTAGTTGACATCTGTGAAAAAAACCCAACCAGACATATAGTTGGAGATGCATTTTAATAAATTTTCAGATAATTGTGGATCTCCTTCTTTGATACTGCACCAAAACTCAATAAGTATTATTTCTTTTTCTTTTTTTTTAATTTTTGGCTGCATTGGGTCTTCGTAGCTGCGTGCGGGCTTTCTCAAGTTGCGGCAAGCTGGGGCTACTCTTCGTTGCGGTGCGCGGTCTTCTCACTGCCGGGGCTTCTCTTGTTGTGGAGCACAGGCTCTAGGCGCATGGGCTTCAGTAGCTGTAGCACATAGGCTCAGTAGTTGTGGCTCGCGGACTCTAGAGCAAAGGCTCAGTAGTTGGGACGCAGGGGGCTTAGTTGCTTCGTGGCATGTGGGAGCTTCCTGAACCAGGGCTTGAACCCGTGTCCCCTGCATTGGCAGGCAGATTCTTAACCACTGTGCCACTAGGGAAGCCCTCAATAAGTAGTATTTCTTAAACCTAAAGGTTAGCTGCAGTGTGAAATCTGAAAGCAGAGTGATGAACATTTTGTGCTCTGTTACATTAAAATCTGTTGTCCTATCTTGCATTTTGAATAAATCTTTTATCCACACATGATTCTGTAACATCCTGCATTGCTCATTTGGGAAGTCTTTGCTCACTGAGTTATGCAGACCTTCCAAATGTTGACACGTTTCGCTATATAACACTGAAAAATCACATTCATTAATATCACCATCAGTCTCATCAGAAAAGACATTAAATACTGGGAAACTGGAAGACAGAAGATTTCTAAAATTCCAATTTTTGTTTGAAAGCTCAAATTTTATGATGGGCAACAAATGATAAACGTCAGCTTTTAAAGTGGCAGGCGCACTCACTCATTTTCAAGAAAATGTCTATCAGATGCCCAAGTCTGAACGATCATAGTTTGTCAGTCCTTCTTTCAAGTGAAAACAGTATTCCATTAAAAAAAAAAAAAAAAAAAAAGCCTAGTTCAGCATGCCACTCAAGTGGTCACACAGGGCTTTTTCTTGCAACAACCTTCATTTTCCAGGGTGCAGCAGAATGCTCTGTGCATACTTCCCATCTCAACACAGAAAATATTACAAACATGTGTAACTCCAGATCAAGATTGATAAAATTAATATTTGTACTGCTTTATCAAGGTCATTCTTCAGGAAAACTGGCTTTTTTTCCCCCCAAACTGTGAGTACTGGCTTTTTTTTTTCAAATTACACGAGGGTGAAAAATACAACAACTAGTACAATTTGGTGCCAAAGCCCTCATTAGTCTTAAGGCATCAACAGTTTCACCTTCCAGTGCTATTGTACCAGTTGTACAAATATGGACTCAGCGAAAATGGCAAATAGCATCGTAGTGTTATTGTGGAAATAGTTTTAACCTTGCTGACCTGCTCAAAGGCCTGGGGATTCCCCCAGAGGTCCTCGTACCACGCTTGAAGAACCTCTTAGGAAATTCATTGAACATCTCAGTTTCCTCATCTGTGAGGTCATAATAATACCTCCCTACGGGACTGTAGGGAAAATTAAACAAGATAAGATGACTGAGCTGCCTGGCACACAGCACGCTCATTTAATGTGAGGTCACTTCCCCTCCCCTCCCCTCTGTGCCCCACTCTGATGCATCTAGTGAATTCCTACTGATCCTTCAGTGGGCAGCTCAGTTGTCTCTGCTCAGATAAGCCTCCCCCGACTCTCCCACACAGAGATGACTGCAAGCTGTGACTACAAGTATCGAACAGCAGGACAACTGTGTGTTTCTATGTCAGTCTCCCCTACTAGAGTGTGAGCTTCAGAGAGCAGACACCATGCCTTCCTCATGTTAGGAACCCCAGAATATAGCAAGGTGCCCAGTAATCGGGTGCCAAAGGAATGGGTCCTTTTCTTTCCCAAGTTGACTGCAAGTTCACTTCCTCACTAGAGGACAGAACGGCTCTTCTCAGAGAACGCCAGAGACTGCATTCACAGAATGGCTACATGTCAACAGAAAGAGGGGATGAAAGAAAGTACAATGGCGGGCAGGTGTCCTTGGGGGGCCCTGTTATCTTCTTAAAGGTTGCCCAGGCCTGCCCTGGCTGAATCATTCTGAATCCCCTTGGGGGCCGTGTTGGTGTGGCTCCAGCAGAGGTTAAACACATGGCTTTGGAGTCATTCAAACAGCCGGCGCTACTAAGTGAACTTGTCACCTCTCTAAGGCCTTATCTCCCTTGGCAGTAAAATGATAATAATAAAGAGTGTCTACTGTATCAGTTTTGAGGGGATATGAGATGCTATCTAAGTGTTCACTTCCCCTCCCCTATCAACTTTCCATGACCTACAGGAGTAACATGGAAAATTCCATCTGCAGCCTCTCTTGAATTGTCCACTTGGAAACATATCCAGGTGCTCCTGGCTAGCAGCAACTAAGCAGTGTCTGTGTGCCAAGCCCTGTGCAAAGTGTCTTTTAAACATTTTC